GGCGGGAGCGCCGCCGCGCTTCCCAAGCGGCGCACTGTAGCAGTGCGCCACTGGGCCGGCCGCTTAATAAATTTTTAAGAAACATGAAATTATGTATATTTTTTGAAACAATTTAGAAAAGTATAAAGCAAAAATTCAACTTGATGAAAGATAGAGTACCTTTAATGTAATGAGATCCAACTTTTTATAAAAGCCTTATATAAAAAAGTCATTCTCATTCTTAATAGTTCATTTGTTTATCCAATCTTTTTTTCTTTTATTCATGCATTAACTTAACAAACTTTTATTAAATGACTGCTATGTAGTGCTATGTAAGGCACTATTACAAATGTTGGAAATAGAGCAGTAAGCCAGGCAGAATCCCTGTCTTTATGTAATATAATGTGAGAGTGATAATGCCATGACTGAAATGTAAAAATGGGTACATGGACCTAGAGTGATGGCAGTTCTTCTTTAGAGAGGGTGGCCAGAAGAGATCTACCTGAGGAGGTGACATTGCATTACAAGTCAGAAGTGATCAAGCCATGGGACCTTCTGGGCAGGAGAACTCCAGGCAGAGGAATACCAAGTTCCCTCCAGGTCCAGCAATGGAGTAAAAATCTTAAGTGGACTGGATATCTAGCTCTCTAAAATACTGTGATCTAACTTGGAACTGGAAGTGCTAGTTATTTTCTAATTGTTTTCTCAGGGCATTCACTCTTTTCTTTTTTTAAATTTATTTTTTTAAATTGATGCATAACAATTGTATATATTTATGGGGTACATGTGCTATTTTGTACAGGTATATAATGTATCAAATCAAGGTAATTAGGATGTCCAGCACCTCAAACAATTATTTCTTTGTGTTGGGAATAGTCCAAGCTTTCTCTTGCAACTATTTTGGAATATATAATAAATTATTAACTATAGTCACCCTACTGTACTATTGAATACTGGAACTCATTTCTCCTATCTCACTGTATTTTTGTAGCATTATTTTGTGCCCAACCCCTCCCTATCCTCCCACCTCCTACCCTTCCCAGCCTCTGGTAACCACTATTCTACTCTTTACTTCTATGAGATTAACTTTTTTAGCTCCCACGTTTGAGTAAAAAGATGCGATATTTGTCTTTCTGTGCCTGGCTTATTTCACTTAACATAACATCCTCCAGACTCACCCATGTTGCTACAAATGACAGGATTTCATTTATTTTTATGGCCAAATAATATTCCATTGTGTGTATATACCACATTTTCTTTATCCATTCATCTGTTGATGGACACTTGGGTTGATTCCATATCTCGGCCATTGTGAATACTGATGCAATAAATATGGGAGTGCAGGTATATCTTCGACATACTGATTTCTTTTCTTTTGAATATTTATTCAGTAATGAGTTTGCTGGATCATATGGTATTTCTATTTTTAGTTTTTTCGAGGGACCTCCATACTGTTTTCCATAGTGGCTGTACTTAATTTACATTCCCACCAACAGTGTACGAGTTCCCCTTTCTCCACATTCTCACCAGCATTTATTTTTTGTCTTTTTGATAATAGCCATTTTAACTGGTGTGAGATGATATCTCCTTG